GATCGACCTTTCCTTATCAAGTGCTAAGCTTGAATGTTAATTTTTACTTGCAGTCTCTATGGAAATCCTGGAAAAAAAACTTCATAGAAATCCTATTGGACTGCAATCACTCCACGAATTCCCATGAAGTGACTGCCAAATGAATATAAACCCTGACATTTTATGCTGTAATTCAAACACCAAAAACTCAGTGAAACTTATGACTAAGCTCGAATGGCTCATTAATTTTTGTTAGGAAACCTAAAGCCGGATAAGGTATTTGAAAATAAAGTGCTAAGACTTATGTTATCTTCAAATCGAGACAAAATATTTCGGTACTAAGTAGACTTCGAAAAGAAATGTACCTATTGCAGACAAGCGTCATTCTAGTATATAGGGGACTAACCCCAAACAACCATGCCTTATATATTCGAACAGCCATTTGCTTATTCCAACATGGGAATGCAAATAGTTATCTGCCAATACCACTAACTGCCAGAGAAAAGATTATTCGAAGTCGAGTAACGAAACGTTTCTTGGGTGCAAGTCCTGTTTCGATGGATACAAGTGGCTCGCATGATTAACCCTTAATTCGATCCATGTAAAGCGACTGTTTAAGTGGAACAAATTAAGTATAAGAAGTGTTTTTCTGCTGTTGCTGTTACCCCTAGAAATCTACCTCCTTTGGGGTTTTTCTCAAACTTCAGAGAATTTCCCTAGATCTGAAGGAACTTTGTGGTTTTTGCTATTTTCTAGAAATTTCCTATTGCGGCTTCTCCAAATTCTCCTCAAAATTGGGAGATTGGGTGAGAGGGGTCATTTTACTCGTTGAAATTCTAATGTTAACGCCATTATTTCGTGAGACCTGGATCAAAAAGACACCATACCTAACAGTTAGTCAATTAGTTAACAATATAGTTGCATCGATAAAACGTGGAATTTAATAATTAATGGGAATTTATATAATGTTGACTCACCCCTGCACAACATGCGATTCTGAGTACATAAAAAGGCCAGAGAGTGGTAGCAAGATCACTACGAACTGATCGGCCGCAAGAAGAGGATTGAAGCGAACAATTAGCCCATAAGACAACGTGCCGGGAAGTAGTGCTTAAACCAGCAATATATGAGCCGTTTGGTTTGAAACTTCGCGACCGCCAATTTAAAGGATAACAAGTAAATTAAACCACAAACATTTCAGCGAGTAGCTTGATATTTAGTGTATGAGTCTGTGTAGTGAAAAAGCGATCTCAGTAATAATCCCGTTATATTCAGATTATGACCTTAAGGTACCGAGGACAGAAGGCCTATGGCCTGTGTTATTCCTTTTCTAGTATGCTTCTGTGAATGTTTATTCTTCTGTTGAATGAAGCAACTGAAGTCGAGGACACCACCGTTTTGTGTAACTGGTTCTAATAATTGACGAAGCGGTGTGGGGACCTGTATGTTACGATATTTTGTTCGTTCTTCGATTTTCTACTCATCTGCTATGTCCCTTGAGATGTCCCGATCTAATGTGCAAAAAGAGAGGATATATCAAGTGCAGAATCATTTCTTAATACTCTATACATAAAAACCAGATCAGCTCTTAATCTGCGGCAGGAAAATGTTAAGAGATCCAGCTTTTCAAGCCACTCTTTCTATTTGTAAACCTCGGAGTTCTGGAATTGCAGGGGTAGCTAACCTCTATATTTTTCCAAGGATATCGTAGTCATCTTTTAAAGAGGGCTTACAGCCTGAACGTGGTTTCCAAGTTTAGTTCTCACTAAGGTTGTGTATGAGCATGGTAGTAACTAACTCGATGATTGTTCGCCTTAAGGCCCAAAGTGTTATAAATCCCTCAGTCAGGACAGTGGACCGTGGTCTTAAGATCATGGCATATTATCGCCCTCAACATTTTTGTGAGATCGAACCACGAGTACAGGCACTTCCCGTATGCTGTTCATATTTACCTTTGTATCTCCAAAGTGCATGCAGACACACTTTGCCGCGTTGATAAGCATCAGCCACTCTTTAGACCAGCTAATCACAATATTTAAGTCTGGCTAAAATGCGCATGCATCCGCGTATAAAAGGTAAAGAACCTAGGGCAGAACCTTGAGGCACTCCACTAAGAACTGGTTTCCAGTTGGATCATTCGAAATTTATTCTCACTTCCCTTGACCGCCTGCCACTCACAAGCAAACGAGTCGCTAGGACGTTTTCACCGACAACTGAAAGCTTCTTTATCAGGTGCAAACGTTTCACAGTGAACCGACGCTCTTTCACTCACCCTACGAGGTATTCGAAATGCAATGAAAGTTGACATTGGATACACTGCAGCTTAGCTTGTTTATGGAACGACACTCAGATTTATAAGAGAATTCGTGGGTCTTTTATCTTCTTCACTGAATGTGGGCCTAATCTCCTACACCAGCAGGCTTACAAACGTGATACGTTCAGTTAAAATGTTTCCAATCGACTGCAGTCAACTGATGTTTTCGTTCAACCTGACTTACGACATAATACGCAAGTCTTCCTACGTCGTGACTCACATCGATGACCTCTTGAACCAGCGGTAATTACATACTTCTATTTTGGTAAAGCTACCTGCAACGTCTCACATAACCTCGTAAAATATTTCTCAATTAACATACGGAATCCCCTTTTATTCTGGGTTTTTAACAGATTCTAGCCAAACCATTCTATGCCTATGTAACTATTCGGTAGGGTCATAGAAGGAAGTGTGGTTGGCTCATTACATTTCACGTTTTCGTCAATGACGTGCGCCCACTCCTTCGATACGCTAGACCTTTCCTTTTTGATGATGACCTAAATGTGGCTTATTCATTCTCACCTCGTACCAAAGAAAAGTGTATGTGGGTAGTAACTCAAGACATAGACAACCTATACGAATGGGATGCGTCATGGAGTCTATCACAGAATGGTGGCAACGGTGAGTTCATTTGAATTGGCTGCAGCCATAACCTAAACCTGGTTCTACACAAACACGTAAAGAAATCTCTCAACACTACTCATGACTTCGATTTAACAGTTTGAACTTTTCCGAGCACACTGAATCTCTAGTGTCCAAATCGAGAAGACTCACTGAATTCATATTGATAAATTTCAACACCAGTGAAGCTACACTTTTATTGTATAAAACGTTTTATCATACCCATCCTTGAATATGACATTTCCTTTTGAATGCAATATAATTTGATGGAAATTGGATGTGTTAAGATAAGATTCATCAAGGTTGGTTTGGAGTATCCCAACAATGAGGATAATAATCCAACCTATCAACGTCTCAAGCTAGAATTTCTTCGGATCATAAGCTTAAATCAAACCTTGTATATATTTACCGGCTTCTCAATAATGCGTCGTGATCTTCACTATCGATCCTTTCGTAATATGGCTTATCATATCACAATATACACAAAAATGAACATTTTATTGATTCTCAGAACCTATAAGGACTAACACCAGAGTATGCTCGACATACAAACATATGGATCAAACTCCCAGAAAGCCCCAATTGCGACAGTCCGGTTCAAGTCTCCCTGATAAGTTACTTTCAAAAATTAATTTGTGTCACCTACTCAGTGTCAGTATAATTTCAAATGATCGGAGAAACAGGGTTCGGTAACTATAACATTAACTGCAAAGCGAAAATAGAACCGATGACATTTGTGCGTTTGTTCAATTCGTTCATGTTAATATCCAAAGTCAAATCTCATTACATAACTGATTTATTATTTAAATCTCTCTGATACGTAAATTACCATTTACTCCTATTACGTTTTACAGACATCCTTACTGAAGTATAGACAAATTTATATATTTTCCTTCCTCCTTCTCTAGAGTTAACACGATGTGCCTCAAACTATAACGTAACGTGATTCGAATAGAGAATATTTTGAAAAAATTATTGAAGCATATATATATATATATATATACATATATAATTGTATTTCTGAGGAAAACATAAATAATTACATCAGAGAATTTTGATGCCAAATGTATTTGGAGTTTGACAACACCTTAACCAGTGACGCTTCCATGATTGAAGTATGCCAATCAAGTCAAATCAGAAGACAAAAATAAAGGAGTTAGAAAATGTATTTGTAAGGCCATCGGTACGTAGGGTAGTGATGAACCGAAGACATGGCCAATGAGAAGCTTGAACACAACGGGTTTATCGTTGGTAAACACTCTTCTGATAGCTTACTATGTTCAGTAGTGACTAGTCGTCTTCCCTTACTGTAAGGGGTCAAGTGATACAACACAGTAGTAAAAACAAGTACAATGAAAATTTTGATTCAGGTTTAACTGAACACATTATATTTTTAAGCCTGCTTGTGTAGGAGATTAAACCCATACTCATTGGAAAAGATGAACGGTTCACAAATTCTCCTGAAAGTCGAAGTGTCGTCCGGCGAACGAGTTGATCTTCAGTATATTCAACGCCAGCCTTTAATCCACTGCGAATACCGAGTAACATGAGTGGAAGTGTGTCAACACATTGTGACGAATTGCCGTTTAGGTTGAGGCTTTCAACTGCCAGTGAAATCGTTATACCAACACGTTATATTGTGGATGGAAGGCGGTCGTTCGGAATTGTGTGGTTCCCAGGAGTGTGGTAATACAACGGGAAAGTCCACATTCGAACTGACGTTCACGGTCTGAAGTGATAATTGGAAGACAGTCCAACTTTACTGTCCACCGTTCGACTAAGGTGTGTACCACTGTTTCAGCAGTAATGTCATTGATTGGTACTGCTTCTAGCCTTCGTGTAAAACGGTACACATAAGGAGGTAAAAGTGTTCATTTTAGTCCAATAATAGTCCTACTGAATGCAGATGAACATGGTCGATACGAGCGTTGGGAATTGTGCAAGATCACAACGGACACTTGTTGTGTCTCACCATAGACAACAAAATCCTTTCACCACTCGGACACAGACCCTAAAAGCCAGACACTTCACTACTTTCCACAAGCAATGTTTTTATTTTCAAGTTTGTTTCTATTAGCTACTGACACAGGTCGGTTGCTTCGACCTAGTGATTCAAGCCGCCTATTTCGTTTCTGGTCATGACCATGGCAAAATCGGCCGTAAAGAAGGGACGAAAAAGATTGACTCACCAAGAAGATCCGAAAATTAGGGATGGGGTTGTCAAACTTAAAGGTTTGTCGCTATCAAAGTCTCAATGTTTTTAGAGAAACTAACAAGCAGACAGAAACAAAGGCTTAAGAAGCGTTTTCTGAAATCTGATGAACTTGTTGAAAATAGGACGCCTCAAAAGGTACTTTTGTTGACGACCTTCTCTTTATTAAGTTTACGAGTCATCTGACAGTGTTCCTGCGACGCAAAGTGGATTTCTTGAAAATGATGGTGACGAACTTATGGTTGATGATTTTGGACGTCTATCGGATTTGGAAGAAGACATTGAGACAAATGCGGATTCTGTAGGACCTGTAAATGAAAAAGAGGATATGATAACAAACCTCACTTCCGAAGATGCGATTGGAAAGTCTGCAATGGATTCCAGTACATTAGACCAACGCATTCGGAACTGGCTTTATATCCTCTCCGATTTCAAAAACAGAGCACCTGCAGACCTCAGTAGGAGTTTGTGTGTTCGGACTCTGATAAGCGACTTATGTTCTCGCTATTCGTACAACCAGTTCCTTATGGTGAAACTTCTTGATTTGTTTCCCAAAGAGGTAATAAATATTGGGACTCAAATTCAGTCTCAGATTGTTGAGGTTTTAGAAGCTAATGAAGTCGACAGACCAGTGACCATTCGCACAAACACCTTAAAGACACGTCGCAGGGAATTGGCTCAAGCAAGTCCTCTTTGTTTATATAATTAGATAGGCTTTAATAAATCGCGGTGTAAACCTTGATCCTTTGGAACCGTGGAGCAAAGTTGGACTTGTTGTTTATTCATCACAAGTACCATTAGGCGCAACACCGGAATATCTTGCCGGTCATTATATACTTCAGGGAGCTAGTTCTATGCTTCCTGTAATTGCCTTGTCTCCCCAGTTAGGCGAGCGTATCTTGGATTTGTGTGCTGCGCCTGGTGGGAAAACAACTTACATTGGCAAGTTTGCAGTTTAATTTGATGTATTAATGAGTCGAAGTTTTGGGATTATTGGTGTATCTTCATTACTATTATTTACCGTGTTTTTATTAACTTGTGTCATTTGAGATGGTTATCTGAATCCATTACAGGGAATTGGTTTTTGCTGTTTCGGGTATGTTCAATTCTCGAGATAGCATTATATCACTCAGGTTTCGGAAACTATTGGATTTATTTATCGGGTTTCTGATTTTTAAACTCTGTGGTACTAAACTTAGTCCCATCACACGCGAGTGATACTTCCCATATACTAATGATTCTACATAGCTTATTTATATCTGTAAGATAGGTACGAATCTTTACTCTTATCCGTGTCAACCTCAACTTTGCCAGGAGGAGTCGGTGAACTATTTGTTCCTTGGGATCTACGTCTGGACAGTTAGAGTGAGGTCATAGTTTCGGAGGGCTATGATTTTTTAATATTCCTCCTAAAAACTGAGGGGAGTGACAATTTAGTTAATAATAGATGTGCTCGATGGGTGACACTCAAAGTATTCTCCCTTACTACTTACAGAATTAAAGTAACCGTTGAGCCTTGAAAGATTCAACCGAAGAGTAGTGAGTTCTGCAGCTTACTGATTAGAGCTAAGGAAAGGTGTGCACGAGTCTAACATAAACATCTTTAGGTTAGTTTGTTGTGAAACAGTTAATTGCTTATATTTTAACTGAAGAATTGTAAATGTTTGATCACTCGACAGTTTTGTGTATACTCTTTTCCATTACTCAGAAGCAAAAACAACGATTTTAAGCAACATATTATAAGTTTGTCATTCTTATAAGCTACCCGCAATCCTCAGTATTCTGACGTCAAAATAATGAAGTTCAGCATACTTGTTTTTCTGAAAGGTTTTCCCGAGAGTATTGTTCCTCATCAATCGTATGAAAAAAATGAGGCGCTAAGGATGAGCCCAAACTAGCATTAGATACCAGTAACAAATATCTCAGGATTGTAGATTATCAGGTGGTAAGGCTGCGGAAAATAATGATTTTAAACTCAGTTTGAGTCGGATAGAAAACCACTTCGATTGTCTTCGGATCTGTCACATAAATGCAAGATGCTTGTGCGGTGTATAATAAAGAACTAACATTACTATGAGCTGATAAAACCCAAAAGCATTAAAAAAATCAGCAGCAAGACTTGTTAGATTCAATGCACTGTTGTGGTCGTAAATAAATAGAAAACACTTAAAATTGTGATGACTGCCATCTGACACCAAATACTCGGTTATTGTAACACAGTCATACGTCTGAACGAACTGAAGACGCATCATTCAAATTACGAGAACCGAAGTACTTTTCCAAAACAGACGTAAGGCATGTACATTGGCGAATTCCGTTGAATGCGATCTCTGGTGAACTAACTAGCAATAATGGAATATTAGGCCTGCTCGGATACAAGCTCCTACCGTTCAAATGTATCGTTTTATCTGCGAGATTTCACAAGAATATAAATCAGATTATCACCTGTTTTGACGGTGTTGAATCTCATCAGGAAGGCATCATAGTTCATTCTTACAATACTGAGAAACAAAACCAGAATCTTTTGAAGTTATTTGGACACTTTTGTGGCGCAAATGTGATCGTGTGGTGTCAGCTACGATTTAGTTCTATCAACTTTCCAGGCTGGTATAATGTGTCAAACCCAACTGATGTAGTTAGGTGATAGGTTTTACATTGCTTGGAACTGACTGGTACTTATAAAATTTAAGCTAATCATCAGTGTACACATTAATTTAGTAGCAGTATATTACTTAAACGAATTTTTGGTAAATGGACTCGAGTAGTAAAGTAAGATCATTGAACAAGCTGGAGTTCATTATTTTGATACTTAACTGCTATGGATGATAACAAAAACTTATTCATACCAAGTTTTTCCATGTCTTACCCAAGTTGTAATAATTGTTTTAGTTATCATCTAAAAGTCTCTTTTCTGTGCTATGTTATGCCTTTATTTAATCCTACTTTTTTATGTACAGCACAACTCATGAAAAATACTGGCACCATTTTTGCAAATGAAATAAACCCCAGTAGAGCCAAAGCGTTGCTTGGAAATTGTCATCGTATGGGTGTGACAAATACTGTCATCTGCACAGAAAATGGGCGGAAATTTCCAAATATTATGTCTAACTTCGATCGAGTCCTCGTAGACGCACCGTGTTCTGGAACTGGTATAATTGCCAAAGATCCCTCTGTGAAAACCACCAAGAATAATGACGAAATTCAGAAGTGTGTAGAATTGCAGAAAAGGTTACTTGTAGCTGCTATTGATTCCTGCAAAGTTGGAGGTTACGTAGTCTACTCCACATGCTCCATATTGGTAAGTAACTTGTGACTACTAGTAAGAATATTTATTGACAAGGTTCTGTAGAGAGTAGACAAAGTCTCTTATTGTTCGATATTATGAATATTTGGGAGAGTAACATAATGACTAATTTTATGGATCGTCACACAAAACGCGAGTTAGAAACAAAAAAGTTGGAGCAGCAAGTCACTTTTTAGAATCTTTAAACCCTATTTAGTCTGCGCACAAATTTTTAAGTATCGAGTACGTATATTGAAACATTGGTAACCAAACGAAACAAGTGTATGTAATAAATATGACAGTTAAGTAAAAGAAAAACATGGCTTCATTTCGATAACCTACCTCCCGTGTTAACCAGGCTGGTAATCACTAGATTATTCACTTTTTCACTCGAACAAATGTCCTGTCTAACCGAGACTTTATATAATTTATCAAAAGCTAATTGAAAAAAGAACGGCTGATCAAGATATATTTCAAAACGTCAAATTATAGCATTGAATATTGGGCTTATTGGTGATGCCCGCTGAAATACAAGTAGACCGGCTTAAAGCTTTTTTCCGAGGTAAAAAGAAACGTTAAATAAAATATAGCACAAATGTAAATGCGATCTATTCGAGCAATTGAAAAGACGTGTAGAGAGAGGGAGCAAATAAAAATATTGGTAGTTAGTGATTATATCCGCCGTGCCGTTATTCGAGTATAAATTAAACTAGCGCACTCAGTCTCAAAGGTATGGGTATTTTTCGCCACATTCAATGTTTTTACCGCTTTCAAGTGTCAGTCATACTTAAAACACAAACACACGACAGCGTGAGTTATTGCGATGTAAAAAATATGGATAAAAAACCGGTCAAGATGATTGTGAGAAAAACCAAACTTTGCATAATTCAGTTCGAAAGCAGACAAATTTGAAGAACAAAGATTCGGAAACAATAGTTAGGGCGCTGACTGTAATTGGACATTTTGTACCTAATCAACGTGGCTTAATCCGATAGTGAACTCAAGAACTGATATATTGATTTGAAAACTTCTAGTTTCTCTAATATCTATCTTTACTCCAGGAAACGTGCTTCGACGATGTCGGTTGGACATGAATAACACTGTCCCGGTCACTCCAGTCAGAGGTTTAGTCTCGTATAGTGCTCATTCCAAAGGTCATTGAATGAAGCACTTCGCAAGTTACTCTAGCCCATCTACTAACTCTCACTGTTTAACAATAACATAAAAGTAGACGTTCAAAGTACCAAATATTTTTGTACATAAACTTTATGTTTAAATATATTTATGTTTCCTGTTTTACATTAAGAGTACTGACATTATCTTTTTGTTTCTATATAACAAGGTAGAAGAGAATGAGAATGTTGTAAACTTTGCGTTAAGACGAAGAAAGGTACGTCTAGAGGAAACGAAACTGTTTGGGGAGAAGGGTTTCACTGCGTAGGTGAGTGTTCACTAATGTATAATTATCTCCACAGATTCAAAGGCTATCAGTTCCATCCACATATGGTACGCGTTCGACGTTTTTATCCACACAAGCACAATGTCGATGGATTTTTCGTGGCAAAAATGAAGAAATTAGCGGCGGCTACTAAGGAGAAAAAAGTTTCTTAAGACTGGATATATCTAGATGAAGCACCAGGATTACCAAGCTTTCATCCTTGTTTGTGAATAAACAACTTAACCTAACTTCAGCCCTTACTTCTTCAGAACTCAGCGCACGACGGAATTCAGGTGTCTTATTTAGTGTGTGCAGATTCCTGGTCGTAACAAGATGGTTATAAGATAGTTAACGATGTCAGAAACCCAGATAGCTGGCCTTTTGTACCTCTTGCTTATGTGTCCAATTTGATAATGAGTCACATCTACTAAGTCTATTATCTCCAGTTTACAAATTAACCACGTGCGGAAGTTCCGTGTTATTTGCACTTCCTTCTAAGTCTTCGACCTCACTTATCATACCATACAATATCTCACCGTAAATAATGTCACACGTTACACAATACTTATATAATAGGAATTGAAGAGGGAGGTTGATTATGAATACAGTGAGCTTGAGTGTTGTGAGGTATGAGAGCAGTTATCACTTCCCGGTTGCCCACATCGTGGAAGGGCTCTTCTAAAAGTACCTGAGAAGGAAATTGGGTTAGAGGTCGTCTGAACGATCCGAGAGCTTGACAATAGTGCTCAAAAAACATCTGCTTGAGGTCGGTCACACACGACCCTTTTGTCAGTAATTTTAGTGTTAGCTTCGTACTTGTTGAGACCCTACCGTCGGAGACGGATATCCGTGGGCTAAGGCCAAGTGTGCATTCTTCGGGTAGACGTTTTCTGACCCCACATTTCCTTTGTGGGATGGCGTTATCGATGTTATACTTCGCCCATGGATTTGCTGCTTTGTCTTATCGCTCTCCAACCGACTTTCTGGCATGGACCTTGAGGAATTATTGTTTCAGCTACTATAGCTCCTTTGGTTCATCACGATAGGCAAACCCGATCGCCACGTCAAAGTAGCAGCAACGGTCGTGATATCAGATGCACAAATGCTACGAATCTTTTAATACCTATGATGGATACAGTCGTGTGTTGATGGACACAGAGCTTATAATCTTACTAACTACTGAGTCTGAGGTATATCACAGCTGTATAACTAGAGTCGTTTATAAATACATACGAGCTTGTCACAATTTCGGTATTTTTAAGTGGCAAGTGTATTGGAAAGAAAACTAGAGATTATCAGCAAAATATAGACATCGATGAGCACTAGTTAGAGTGGAATTTAATTACAGTCAAGGTTGAATATATTATAAATCCAGGAAGTAAAGTAATCGGTTAAATGTAGTTACGATTGACTGCGCTTCCGAAAGTCTTCGAAAAAAGCTTTTACTTCTGATTCTGTTACAATCTGAAAGACAGAAAAAGGATATGAGTAAGAAATGGTAAAAATAGAAGTCAATGGCTATTTCATAGTAGAAAATATAACAAGCTAATCACCTACAAGTTTTCATTTGACACAAAATATGGGACAAGTATCGGGTTTAAACATCTAACAACAAAATGTTTCGTAGGGATAACAAATGTTCTTCGAGACAACACTAAACTTTATACAAGGGAGGACGCTAAAAAGTTTCCACATGAGTGAGCTACACTGTTTGTCAGGTCATGGTATGATGTCACAAATAACAACGACGGCGAAGACTAGCATAGATCTCTTCACAATTTATACAACTTGATGTACAAAGAAATAAACAGATAAGAGAGGTACTTACGTGGTTTTTATCTCTCTTCTTGGTGAAAAATTCTTCCAGAGCTTCTTTCAGTCGTACAAATCCTACATTAAAAGTGTACTTTATTAGTTTTGGAAAATATGCTAATGACAGTCAGTGTATTCAATTACAGAGCTTGTTAAGTCTATTTAAGTGGGATTGATACCATTTATCGCTTCAGGTACAATAATCTGATTGTTCACATCATTTAACTAGGTTTTCTGAGTATGGATGTTTACATCACACAGTAGATATCTTATAATTGGCTCATAGAGACATTTCCGGATAGTTATATTTACTTAGAATGCTGTAACGTACGAACATGATCTAAAGATGTTATTATACTCTTATGCTTTATTGGTAGTTTACTATTTATTTGGGAGCAATAGTGTATCGTCTAGGGCTGCTATATAAACCTAAACGTCATGTAATGGATTGTTTTTTATTCAAACATTTCTACTGTATGCACTGAATATCCGCAAAATTATCGTAACAAAGTTGACGTAATTCAATAATCCAACCATAATTTATACCCAAATGAAATAACTCATAAATACACTTAATAAATACTAATACAACACTTGAAACATTTTTTTGTTCACTCAGTGTTATAACGAACCTTCCATAAGATATTACCTTGTAAAATAAAGACCAGGTAAGTCAATAACTGTAACGAACTCGTCCTAACTCTGCTTGGTTCTAGCGTAAACCCTGTTTCTCTTGATAACTGTATGTTGTTTTCGTTTTAGGACATTTACTAAAACATTTATGATGTATAGACACATGAAAAGGTGAGAAAAAAATGTTGATGCACAGGAGCCAGAAAACATTGTAGATACCTCTCGAGTTTTTAGCATTCCGATGTTGTCATCACAAATTTTGCGAGCACGTACGCAGGGAGTATTGTTTATTGGGAGCTTATAAACTCATGTATGCTTGATTTGCTTTTTATCTGTTCCATTATGTCAGAGGTTTACTAATTTAGTGTTTTAGATTAACATTATAATGGCAAGCATGAAGTAACCCGTATTGAATTTAACAATTATTTACGAGGAATATGAGCGAAATAATCAGCGTATAAGGTGTTCCTATTATTTCTACTTATAAGTTCATAATTATACATCACGTGATAAATCCGCATTATGACAGTTACCCGTTGCAAAATTTACTGCTGCAGGATGCGGCAACTCTGCAAGAGCCTCATTTAGTGTGCGTTTCTCTTCCTCGTTAATTGATTTAGTCCTCTGTTTTCCCAGTTGCATGTAATGGGATACTGAGTCTTCAGGATCCAATAGAAATTCGACATTAAGGTGCTTGTACATTTCCTAATCCAAAAAATTGTAGAATTAAGTGCTTGGTAATTAAAGCATGTCAACATGAATCAAAATCTTGACTTTACTGAGTCCAGAAAAGCAACAGAGTATAACAAACTACGCATACGTTGCTGACAAAATTATTGGGCTTGTGTTTTAGAAAACATTGTAATGCATAATATAATTCGAATATAATTTGTCTTATTCAGTTTTCCACACACATTCGTTCTGCTCGACTTCAAAGTAATTGTCTTCGGACATTACATGAATCAAACTTGTGTCTAATTATAACCAATGGAATTTGTCGACCGTAGAGTGCCCTCATCATTTTTAGAGCGCAGTAATAAGAAAACGTAATTACAATAAAGATGCGAATAATCAGTTTCTTGATTTTAGTGGTACATTAAGTGCTAAAAATAAGCAAGTGTATAGGATGAACATCACTGATGATGAGATACTGGGACATATGCATGATGCTTTTACATGATTCTGGACAACCATAGTTGCTAGAATAAAATTCGTACTTTTTGAGAAAAATTTTCTGACACCGATATGTGTATCATTATCGTGAAGGAAGTCTTCGTAGAGAAGAGAAAAATTATGATGGACAACAATTTACCCGCATTAAAAAAAGCCATCGTATGTCTTTGGATTTACTGCAATTCTTTAACTTTGCTACCTAGATTTTAGAATATTAAAGATTCCCATTGTGAAAATTATATGTGTTGTACCTAGATTTTGACGAGAGCTTTTAGGTGTTATGGTGCAGACCTATTATCTGAAAAGTCCGGAGATATTAATTATATCGTTCACCTTGCAATGGGAAATGTTATGGAATCGTACTTATTTAACTGCTCATCACTCGTATATATGGTCTTAGTTGCACCACTCAAATTCAGAGTTGACCTAAAATCTGAATTTGACCTACTTAATGACAGCGAATATCTAAGGACTGTCAGTAAGTGAATCGTAACCCACATAAAATTTAGCACAAATGTTCATCATAAGCTGCGATATTTTGTGTGAGAAAAATCGGAAAATTGAACTAGGGACACTAGGAAACTGAGTTTACAACAAAAAATAAAGTAATATGGAGGAAACATATGTCTGCGTTGATACTTGTTTTTAGACCCTTCATATGGAACCTTCAACCACACGTAACAAGTGCCTCTTGGGTGACAACCAGGATGGCTTTATCTTCTGGCACCCATTTGCTTGATGGCCGATGTACTCATGCATTATTAACAATTCATTACCTCACGGCAAAAAAATAGCTAACCATACGCAACATGACCCAGTCATCTCATTTGATGACTTGTTGTTTTTTTGATGGCCTTCCAATAGAAAAACGAAAATAATTATCTTTACATTGTCTATATACTTATTACATTAGTTTTTCTTTTACGAAACGTGAGACATGATACTCCATTTCTTTAAAAATTAGGCAAGAAGCCTTGTGGAAATTTTTCACCATATACTGTTAAATAGTTTAAATGTGTTATAAAACTTGACCTTAAGGAAGAGCTGTCTATAATTCTGCACTAAATTGTTACCTGCAAACCATTCTCGCATTTCCCGTTGAAAACCAATTAACCGGCTAAACTTGGATTTACCACAGCACCGCACTCCCTAGGAATGGCTCCTCATATTTCACTAAACTACTGAAAATACAAGGATAGCGTGGTCGTTAAACTAATTTCGTTAACTAGAACCATTCTCAAATACCGAATATATGGAGCTCAGCGTAGTTTACAACGAGCATGTACGCTAGACACTAATTACGCCTATTATTTGACAGTGGGAACAAATACATTGATGGGTACGTTACAATCATATTGAAGAAGCCATTTTATATATAACTACTCACTATTTACCATACGGCCCCCAAATGCCCTGGTACGGCCGAGAGTGGGGAGAGTCCGCTCTCCCTCTCGAAATACTCTCACATGGTCACGCGTATATAGCCTCTGCCAGGGAAGTCCTACTCACTGCCTTCTCGTGGCGGGGGTGTTGTTTACGGAAATGAGAGGACGAAAAGCGAATGTCCGGCGCTTTAACCGGATTCAAAATCAATGGTGCACATGGGCTCCAGTATCCTGAGGGAACAAATGGCGTATGAACCAATTGTTGGTCACCGGCTTCCATGGGACTGCATCTCCTTACGATGCTCCATTGCCTTGTGGATCAGACCCTCACGTCAAAGGCTCCGGGTGTGGCCCCCTAAGAAAACCACCTGTTTCGGTTTGGGCACCCAGGCAGTATCACAGCCCTCACACATATCGAATGAGAGTTGTGTGGCGCATATGTATTCGGTGCCTCTTTGTACAAATATCTGTGTTGAAATAAATAAATAAAATTTACCATACGTCAAATACTCGTTAATGCTGTGGACATTCACAATTGTGCAGATCTCGTCACTACCACCGAAAATTTTCAAGTTTTTAGAAACAGTAGTGTAAGCATTCCAACTAACATAACTTTGAGACAAATTACCTTGCAGTTTTCGCATCGACAAAGGAAGCTTCTCCAATCAGAGATCCAAAACACTGATGGTACTAGCTTGGGGTCGAGGTTGTCCAAGTTATCAAGAGACGAACAGCAGAACTCAGACACGTGTTGTTTCATCTTACTAGCCCACATGGACAAACGACAATAAGAATTGTCTTCAGGATGAGTCGTACCTTCATTTACGGTTTTCCTCAACCTCTTAGAATCTGGAGTATAAATAAACTCAGTCAAGCTGTTACTCTTTGTAAAAGATTGCCGGAACGTTTCCTCAGTGTTATATGCATATATAAATAGAAACGCGTACTTTTTAATGCACATAAAACAGGTCATTTCGTTATAATCTTCGGGTGGTTCGAATTCTTTATCCATGTTGAGATGCTAAGATAATTTAGGAAGTCATAATCAGGTTACCTCCAAGTGAAACCAGTTTTCGCATATGCCACACTGAATCATTTCTTCAACTCCCTAGCAAAGAAAATAATAAGATACAAAAAACTACGTCATAATCCGGGTCTGGATACGGACGTTGACACGTGCAATATCGGTTAGAAAAGTTGTCGTCGTACCGGTTTAAATCATTTTCATCGTCCTTCTCCTTTGAAATTTAGTATTAGATTTGTATTACCTCCCACAATAGACAGTTACAAACACCAGCAAATTTTGAGTTTCCACAGTCGCATCTAAAATATCGTTTGGTGTATAGCTCAACTATATCATGGTCAGAATGACACTCAATTGCACAAGGGAAACAAATCGCAGCTTTTACTTCGTCTACGTTTAGACATGTATGACAAGTGTAAAGCGCCTGTCGTTTTACATATCCCTATATACTTTAGTGAACAGGAATTATTTGTTACCCTTGTAAATGTACAAGCAGATCTATCATCGATCCCACCCATGGTAATCCAGTTCTCCTCATCAATTTCCTGTAGTACATTCCCAATCTTCACAACTGTATCTTCTTCCTCACTATCACTGACCATCTTAAACCGAGATAAGCAGAATCATATTACAGTTTCCACTACGAAATTCAGTTACCTTGAATATTCATAAAATGTGGTAAAACTAAACAAAATCTTGTTACAAATAAGTGTCTGCATTTTATTATTAATTATGATATGTGAAGGTATGTTTTCATAACTTGTCAAACTATGCTACCGCATCATTAAAAAAAACGTAAGTTTAATAAACTCGTAGAAGTAATTGTACTTCGTTCTTTTTGTGTCAGCATCTTCGGCTCAAACTCCTAACTAACTACTTTAGCTTTACTAGAATTAGTGAAACATTCCTTTACATAGTAGCCACTTTGATTATCACTGGTTGAAATTTTATTTTTTAGTACCTGTATTCCTATATAAACCAAAGGACAAGGAGACATGTAAATATTCCTGCACTATGGGCATTCAGTACTGCTGCATCATTAGTGGAGGACGACTTTGGTAAGGCTCAAGTGTTCTCGAACTAATTTAGCAATGTATATACCATAGAAGCACCCTTCCCGTCAGCGTATACAGATCCCCCCACACATACATTGGATAGCGTGACCATTAAAGAACTCGATGTTTTTGGTCTGCTAAATAAGCTTGACATCCTAGGCTACTGAAGGAATTATTTAACTACGTTGCAAGCGCTTTAAGTACATGCTTTAACCTATCTGTTACGCAGGATCGTTTACCGAAAGACTGCAAAAACGCCATAGTTAGTCATGTCTTCAAAACAGGCACGAAACACAAACCTGAGAACTACCGCCCCGTTAGCCTAACTAGTGTGGCTGTTAATATCTTAAAAAAGATTATTCGGAAGGAGCTGTTTAAGTATCTCGATAAAAACTGGATCCTCTCGGAGAAGCAGCACGGCTTAAGAATAGGTTATTCTTGTCTCACCAACTTATTAGTGGCTCGTGAAAGCTGGTGCGCTCTTAAGGACCAAAAGCTACCTGTAGACGTCGCCTTCATTGATTTCAGTAAAGCTTTTGACAAAGTTCCGCACAACCGGCTGTTATATAAGTTAAGAAAAGTCGGGATTGAAGGCAATTTATTGATGTGGATAAAAGACATCTTAGTTGGGCGTCAACAAAGAGTTCGGGTGAACTCAAAGTTATCTAGCTGAGAAACTGTACTTAGTGGAGTGCCCCAGGGTACAGTTTTGAGGCCAGTGCTATTCCTCTTGTATGTAAATGACCTATGATATTAGTACTGCTCTAATAATAAACCTAATCCTAAAATTGTAGATTTGTCATGATATAACTGCCTAATCTATAAGATCTTACGTGGAAGTCACACCATCGACCACACCAACTCACTGTATCGTATCAATTACCAATACTTGATGTAGAACAATGTTAGGCTAGGAAGAAACAATATATTTAATATGAATAGAAGATATAAGGTAACATTCAGATGGACCACGCCTGCATGGCCGATCCATGCCATCCGATCAACTCCAGTCCATTCAGTTCATTATTCGCGCATTCTTCATCGTTAGGTATTTCTCCGCGTTAAATATTGAATATCTATTTTCCGAATAAACGCCGCCTGTAGCTCTTATAGGGTTACTGCCGGTCCCAAGCCCGGGTAAAGGAGGAGGGTTGGGCATGGGGTTAGTGTCCCCATCCCGTAGAAAACTAACTCGCTAAAAAAACGCTAACCAGAAAAAATAATCCAAACCATTTAAACTCTGCCCTGGGAGTTAGAAGGTCTTCATTTAGAAGAATTATGACGCTTCATGGTGAAAGCCGAGTTCCTTCGGAAGCCAAGAGGCCGATGCCCCTTCTAACAACCAGAGCAAACATTTTTATAGGTACATGGAACGTTCGAACAATGTGGGAAACCGGGAAGACCAGTCAAATAGCAACGGAAATGAGGAGATACAACTTAGCAGTACTGGGAATCAGTGAATCCCACCGGACCCAAGCTGGACAGAAAAGGCTAGCTACGGGAGAGATGCTGCTATACTCCGGTCACGAAGAGGACAATGCTCCACACACTCAGGGAGTCGCTCTTATGTTGTCCAAATTAGCACGAAATGCACTTGTAGGATGGGAATCCCACGGATCCAGAATCATCAAAGCATCATTCAAAACAAAGAAGGAGGGGATCACAATGCATATTATCCAATGTTATGCACCCACAAATGATAGCAACGACGACATTAAAGATCAGTTCTACGAGCGGCTGCAGTCAGTTATTGAGAAATGCTCAAGGAAGGACCTAACTATTCTGATGGGAGATCTAAATGCCAAAGTCGGAATAGACAACACTGGATATGAAGATATTATGGGACGACATGGACTGGGAGAAAGAAACAAAAATTTAGAATTATTTGCAAATCTATGTGCATTCAACAAATTGGTCATAGGAGGCACAATATTTCCACACAAGCGTATACACAAGGCTACATGGATCTCACCGGACCACACTACAGCGAACCAGATAGATCATATTTGCATCAACAAAAAATTCCGAAGGACAATGGAAGATGTGAGAACCAGGAGAGGTGCTGACGTAGCTTCAGATCACCACCTAGTTGTGGCCAATTTAAAACTGAAGCTAAAAAAGAACTGGACAAGTGGACAAACAGCAATACAAAGGTTCAATACAGCCTTCCTTTGAGATACTGACAAACTCAATGAATTCAAGATAGCTCTCAACAACAGGTTCCAAGCCTTACAAGATCTACTGAAAGAAGAAGAAACTAGTATGGAGGACAACTGGAAAGGCATCAAGGAAGCATTGACTTCAACGTGTCAAGAGGTTCTGGGTCTAAAGAAATACCATCATAAGGAATGGATCTCTACAGAAACACTGGACAAGATCAAAGAAAGGCAGAACAAGAAGGCAGCAATAAACAACAGCCGAACACGAGCAGAGAAAGTCCAAGCACAAGCTGAATACATAGAAGCAAACAAACAAGTGAAGAGGAGCATTAGAGCTGACAAGAAGAAATATGTGGAAGAACTAGCAACGACGGCAGAAAAATCTGCTAGAGAAGGAAATATGAAACAGCTTTACGATACAACGAAGAAACTATCAGGGAAATACAGTAAACCAGAGAGACCGGTCGAAGACAAAGAAGGCAAGCCAATCACTGAAATTCAACAACAGCGGAACAGATGGGTAGAATACTTCGAGGAATTCCTGAATAGGCCGGCTCCAATGAATCCACCGGACATCGAAGCGGCACACACAGATCTTCCCATAGACGTCAACCCACCAACGAAGGAAGAAATCAGAATGGCCGTCAGACAAATCAAGAACGGGAAAGCAGCGGGTCCGGACAACATACCAGCTGAAGCACTGAAGTCAGACATCGAAGCAACTACAAACATGCTTTACCTTCTATTCAAAAAGATTTGGGAGGAGGAACGAGTGCCGATGGACTGGAAAGATGGGCACTTCGTCAAGATTCCAAAGAAAGGAGATCTGAGCAAATATGAAAACTATAGAGGCATTACACCGCTGTCAATACCAGGGAAGGTCTTCAACAGAGTGTTGCTGAACCGGATGAAAGATGCAGTAGACGCCCAACTTCGAGATCAACAAGCTGGATTCCGTAAGGATCGATCATGCACAGACCAAATTGCAACACTACGGATCATCGTCGAACAATCAGTTGAGTGGAACTCATCACTATACATCAACTTCATTGATTATGAAAAGGCATTTGACAGTGTGGATAGGAGGACGTTATGGAAACTTCTTCGACACTACGGAGTTCCTGAGAAGATTGTCAACATTATCCGGAACTCATACGACGGACTACAGTGCAAAGTCGTGCATGGAAGACAGCTGACAGATGCATTCCAAGTAAGGACCGGAATCAGACAAGGCTGTTTACTCTCTCCCTTCCTCTTTCTTCTGGTGGTCGACTGGATTATGAAGACCTCGACATCTGAAGGAAAACACGGAATTCAATGGACAGCTCAAAATCAATTAGATGATTTGGACTTCGCAGATGACCTAGCCCTCCTATCACGTACACACGAACAGATGCAGATGAAGACAGCCAGTGTAGCAGCAGTCTCTGCATCAGTAGGCCTCAGCATAGACAAAGGGAAAACAAAAATCCTCAAATTCAAAGCGGAAAACAACAACCCAATCACTCTTGATGGCGAAACTCTGGAAAATGTAGAGTCCTTCACATACCTGGGAAGCATCATCGATGAACAAGGAGGTTCAGATGCAGACTTAAAGGCAAGGATTGGCAAAGCAAGGACAGCATTCCTACAGTTAAAGAACATATGGAACTCAAAACAACTTTCAACCAATATCAAAGTGAGAATCTTCAATACCAACGTCAAGGCAGTTCTACTGTATGGAGCTGAAACTTGGAGAACTACAACAACAACCATCAAGAAGGTACAAGTATTTATAAATAGTTTTCTACGCAAGATACTCAACATCCATTGGCCGGATACCATCAGCAATAGCCTTCTGTGGGAGAGAACAAACGAACTTCCAGCTGAAGAAGAAATCAGGAAAAGACGATGGAAATGGATAGGACATACATTACGCAAATCTTCAAACTGCATCACGAGACAAGCCCTAACTTGGAATCCTGAAGGGAAGCAAACAAGAGGAAGGCCAAAGAACACATTGCGTCGGATAATAGAAGCAGATATGAAAACGATGAACTACAACTGGACGGAGCTAGAAAGGATTGCCCAGGACAGAGTTGGATGGAGAATGTTGGTGAGCGGCCTATGCTCCTTCACGAGGAGTAACAGGCGTAAGTAAGTAAGTAAGTAAGTAATTTTCCGAATAATCTCGTATTCAGCTTTGAGGATTGTGTGGTTATGGTCCAATGCCACTACAACCTTCCTTGTCTCCTATCATCATCGGTCTTGCTATATGCTGACGATGTCAAGACATGGAAAACGATACGATGTAAGAGTGATAGCTTAGAACTTTAAAATGACCTGAAGAAGTTATCTGAATGGTCTCTAACCTGGCAGTTGCCGATAAATACTTCCAAATGTGTTGTG